GCACTCTGGACCTGCAGTCCCCTGCCCTCCAGTGCTGCCAATGCCCCGCACTCCTGAGCCACAGACCCCTGCCCCACAGGCCTACCAATACCCTATGCTCCCAACCTGCAGCCCTTGCCCCCCAGCCCTGCCAGTGCCCCTCACTCCTGACCCACAGACCTCTGCCCCCCAGCCCTGCCAGTGCCCTGCACTCTGGACCTACATTGCCTGCCCCCCAGCCCTGCTGATGTCCTCCACTCCCCCTCTGCAGACACCCCCCCCCCCCCCCCCCTCCCTGCGGCCCCCTCCCCCCACCCCCCCCCCCCCCAGCCCTGCTGGTGCCCCTCACTTCCACAAAACCCTGCTCCCCTCCCCAGCCCTGCTGCCCAAGCAGTGCCTGCGAGCACACGTACACACACACACACACACACACACACACTCTCTCTCTCTCTCTCTCTCTCTACCTGGATTGCTGGGGCCCATGCAGGGAGACTGTGACCCCCCCCAACAGCCAATCACCTCGCCTGCTGCTCCCAGCCCCAAGCAGCTAGCCCAGGAGAGCAGAGGAAGAGCCAAAAACCTGGACATTTGCTCTTATTTTAAAAATCTGCCCAGATGCAGGTGCAGGGGGCCAAGAAGGGGACATGGGACATATGGTAACCCTAATACAACAATAATGTATCACATGGAGCAGCGTTACCACATCTTAAATGTGGAATTATCATATTGGAAGCTGTGAACAATGCGTGCCCCCAGCAGCTGGGGGGGCACGGTGGCAGCGGTAAGCAGGAGCTCCCGCAGACGCCACAAGCAGAGTTGGCAGCGGAAGGAGGGGGTGGCGAGCACTGACCAGGGGTTGGCGACCACCAGCGGTGAGCAGTGACTGCCCACAGGTGCTGCCGACAGTGCCTTTTTGTAGGGGGTGCACGTGCACCCTCTATGTTACCCCTGCTGGAACCTCAAAATCATATTTGCTGAAAAACTATCATAGGCTTTAAAATATGCAAATAAGCATGCAAATAAGTCGTCTTATTTACTTTACATTGCTCAGTGTAACAGGTCAGTGAGTGAGAAACGGGCCATCAAACTTTAAGCATTTCTTCGCTTGGAGGCAAGCAGCCATAGGAAAGTGCTGACAGCAGGCCCGAAGGTCAGCTGAGACTGCCCAGAGTGACTGGGTTTTGCACGTGCTGCCTCAAAAAGTAGTCGTACAGTTTGGACGCTTTTGTTATTATTGAACATACATCGCACAACGGCTGAGGCTGTCGTACACACAGGACGATGACGGTCCGGGGGACAGCGCCGCGCCGGAGGTGTACGCTGATGCCTGCAAGCAAAGAAGGGCGGCGGCGGGCGGGCATGGCCCCCCCGCGCAGCTCGGGGAGAGCCAATCACCAGCTCCCCTTCCCGCAGCAGCCACGTCAACAAAACAGAGCGAACTGTGACACACGCTCGCCCCGCCCTATAGTCCTCGCCCCGGCCCTCCCCTCCGTTCACCACGCTCTACGCTTGCCGCTGCGCGCGCACATCCCCCCCCGGAAGCGGACGCGCGACGGCAGGGCAGCTGCGTCAGCGGATACTACTGCGCATGCTCGGTTCCGTGGCGCAGGCTCTGTAACGGCGGCCGCGATGGTTTACATCTCCAACGGTGAGAGCGGGACCCGGACCCGGACCCGGACCCGGGCCCGGGCCGGGGGCGTGTGGCGCGGCCGGGAGTGCCCGGTGCGATGGCGGGGAGGGGGCGCTTGCCGCAGGGAGCCGCCGGTGCAGGGGCACGGACGTGGGGCCGAGTCCTGGTCTAGAGATCGCTGGACACGGGCGTGGGGCGCGGCCAGGCCGGCAGGAGGCTGTTCTCCCGCCGCCTGCAAGGCAGGTTTCGCGCTGTACAGATGTCCCCTCGCCTCGACGTCCCCCTGGGCAGGATCCTGCGGGTCCCGTGGCGGAGCGCTGGGCTCCAGGGACAGAGACTCGCCGCCTCCGCATTTGTATCGCCCGCCTTCTCCCCCGTCGCTTGACGTCTTGTTGTTTTCTGGAGCCACCGCTGCCACCCTCCCGTACGGCCTGCCCCGCTGCCCGAGCAGCCTCAGCCCATCTGGGGCTCTGACAGCCCCCTCCAGCAGCGAGCGCAGGCCGTGCCGCACCGCCAGGCATGTGGAGATGTCCTGGAAGGGACCCTGCTCTGATTGCATTAAGCTTGGAAGGAAATGGAAGGAGGGGTGCCAAGCTGAATTTAGAAACATACCTAAAATACACCTTCTAAGTAGCTTTGCTGGCACAAGCACCAGGCTCATTTTGCTGGTCTGACTTTGAACAGATGAAATGCTGTTCTTTTCATAAGATGTGGGATACAGCTTTCAAATACTGTAAAACTAGCACTGGCCACCCACAGATATTTTATTTAACAAGCAACACGAATGATTCAAGTTGCTGATTGGTCCTTGTACATATTTACTGTGTCTTGTATGTTATAGGACAAGTGTTGGGTAACCAGAATCGGGCTCCTTGGAGTTTATCATCTATAACAGATTTCTTCTGGGCAATAGCAGATTTTGTGGTCTTGTTGTAAGTACGGGTCTCATTTTTCTTGTGGCATTAAATGTAGCAACCGTTCAGTGGCCACAGGGAAATACAATGCAAAGACATACCAAGGAGCAGTCAAATCCCAGCTTGCCAGTACTGTCCCACAACCAGAGCTTTCCACATTGTTGTTGCCCCCCCTCCATTTTAAGTGACGAATTAGGTTAACTGCCTTTGGGAATAAAACTGTACTGAATACAAGAATCTGTAGAGGAAAAGTTGTTCCAGTTTATGAGGATTCTTATATGAAGCTTAATACACAGTAGCTGATATAATTTGAATATTGACTAGTTACTTCAGTTTTATGCCCTTATGAATGAATAAGGGGTGGGTGTACACTTTGTTGAAATGTTTCTGGTCAGCCATCAAGTCAGATAATTGATAAAAATGTTGGACTAATATTCAAGTGTTAGAAGCGCTTGTCACAGGGATGGCTGCAACTCCCCTTGGTAGCTGCTCAGCCCTTGCTCTGCTCACCTAGGTATTTCACCCCTCTTAGTTCCTCCTGGGTATGGTCCTGGGGCCCTGACCCTGATGTTGCCTTTCCTGTAGCACTGGACCCCTGGCCCAGAGACTCTGCCCTCCTCTGAGCTGCTTATCCGTAACCCTGTCTGTCTTCTGCTATGGCCCCTCCTTGACCTTTGACTTTTCCTGGGCCCTGGCCCCTCCTAGGCCAGTCAAGACATCTGGGCTCCCTGACCCTGCACACCCCCCCCTGAGCTGAGTCACTGACTCTGCCTCTTGCCCCTTGTGAGCTATGGATCCCTAGTCCTCCTTGTTCTCTCAACCCCTCAGCTGTAGCCCTGCTCTTTAGCCTTGGGACCTAGCACCAGTCCTAAGCCAGCTAAAACCTCCTCCACCCCTTGTCTCAATCCCTAAACCAGCAGACTGCTTACCCCAGTTTAGTTGTTTGCCAGGAGCTTGGTTGTAGTCCTGCCATTCAGGAGTTCTTCACATCTTGGCTGTCAGGATCAGACACCCACCCCAGCTGAGGCTCTGGGCTTATATCCTGCAAGTCCAGCCCCCTTTTGGGTCTTGTGACTCCTGATTGCCTCCTGCAGTACCTGTGACTACTCCATCTGCAGTCTGCCTTCTCTTAAAGTAGCAGAAGCACTAAGCCTCCTGCTACACTGAGTTAGTTCCTAGCTAGATTTTAGATTGATATCTAGATGAGTTAGGTGGTTTTATCACTTCAGTTCCAGGTTTGAATCTTATGGACATCCTAGTTTCACAGAGTGCATGGTAAAAACATTTTAGCGCATCAACTTGGGTGCCCATATTTGCCAGGGTTATTATCTTAAATTTAATCTGGACTCATTTTAGCTCACAAAAAAAGGAGTTAGAGAACTGCTGGTTTTACTCAGCAGTAACAAGCACCTGAAAGTTAATCTTTGAACACAAGTTGTACTTTTGTGTCTAGTGTCTCTGTATAGTTCAGCAGTGCAGAAACTATTAATTTTTACTGCTTAATCCATCTATCCTTTCTCCCATTATTTCTAGTTTCCAGAGTATTATTCAACCAGACTTGAGAAGGAAGGGGAACACATCTTCCTCATATTCAAGATACGATGATGGAAGAGGGTATTGTCTGTCTTCAGTTTTGCATTAGTTTAAGTAATGTAGTTTAATGTAAATGTTAAAGTTGTGGTGCCCTACCTTAACTAAGAACAGGTAGGAAAAAATCATGCCAGGAAATTAAGATGCATCTGGCTTTCACTAACAAAAGATCACTTACTCTTTAATTTGTAAGAAATGGTGCACTGTGTATTGAAATATGGTAATGCAAGACCATAGATTCAGGGTAACAGAATTTCCAGAACCTATGTAATGGGAAGTATTTTTCTGGTTTTATATAGTGTAGCTCCTTTTTCTTGTTGACTTGTATTTATGGGTCAAACCTGTGATCTGCATGTGGATCATCTCTCATTTTGTTAAAGTGGAGGGCTTACTGGCTTCTGAATCCTTATATCTTTTCAGCAGACTTTCTGAGAGACTTGGAACCAGTTGCTGCTAGACAGCCAAAGGATGCAAAACAGGATTTCTTCATGGATGACCTTTGCCTACAATAGATCCCTGGGGTCTTGCCTTTTTGTGGCAAACTACTCATGAGAGGGGGGAGGAAAAAATCAGAAGTACTCTTCACAAGGGCATTCTTACAGGGATGTTCTTGCCAAAACTTCCTCCTGCAACTTTTCACATGGAGGGGACAATTTGGCTGCTCTTCAGCAGTCAACTATTGTACAAAAAACAAGTTGTTATAAGGGGGAGCCCATGAACAGTAGACTTATGCAGGTACAAACCATAATAACAGTTTGATATTATTATTATTTACCTGCCCTCCCGTGATAGTGACATTTTCTTCTGCTCTCTGATTAGGCCTCCAGGAAATCCTCGCCGTAGAATGGGTCGAATAAATCACTTTGGTGGAGGTCCCAGTCCACCACCCATGGCTGGAGGTGGATGAGGAAGGTAAACTTAGTTTGTTATATCTTCTTTAGGACCCATTTCAAAAGTAATAGGATGATAATTAAACTTTCCGTTGGAATTTATATCAGTAGCAGAACACCTTTTACAAAAGTTACAAGAAGAAATTGAGGCAAAACAAATGGAACTGAAAACTTAATGAGGGTGGAAAAAGGGAAACTTCATAGATTTGAGTTCTGGTTGACTAATCGGTAGAAACCAACAGTTTCCGTTATTTAGTACTTTTCTGTTACCTTTTGTTGCTGGTCCTATGCTTATTCTGTGGAGCTATAGGAGCTTTCTTTTTTCTATTTATGTTATAGAGTCATGTTTTAACTTGGTTTAAATACTTTTTCAGGCTGTAATGTTTTCTAACATGCTCCTTTTTTTTAAGGTGACTGGCCAGAGGACCTGGGGGGAAAAAGTGCTCTGACTGATAGGTTTTTTTTTAACTGACATGCATAAAAATCCTGCATGTATACGGTTTCTGTATTCTATTAATACTCATTACCATTAAATTGCAATACAAGTTTTATAAGATAATATAGCATGAAAGGTTTTTACAATTTTATCTCAATTTTTGTGCTGTTATATAATTAAAACGATATCTTAATTCAGTATGTTAATACAGTGTATAGGTCTGATCTAGTCTGGTGTTTATGATGTGCTTTGTTTTCTTTTTTTTAGGTAAATGCCTGCTGTAAAAAGCAGGCAACTGGACTTACACATTTACAAGTTGGAGAGGAAGAAATTTTGATGGTGGACCAAATGGGTTTGAAAGATGTGAATGTGTATGTCAGATTGGAAACTGCTCTGTGATAAAGCAGATTCGTGAAGTTGTGCTGGGAATTCCCTCTTCCGGGATCCAGTGTGACTGAAGTGCAGTTTTATTAAATGCACATGTTACTGTCTGTCTGAATTGTTTTGGGTTTTTTTGTATAGTTTATGAATATTTTATTGTAGGTGCGAAGTAATAAGTAAATATATTTGGCTTTGCAAAACATGGACTCCCGTGATCCTTAATAGGAAAGATTAAAACCATTCTATTTGCAATACACTTGTTCATAACATAGCTTAAAGAGGAAAATGCTCTTACAAGGCTTGTTTTAGCAGCTGATAAAGAAGAAGATTTGAGGAATACATGCAGGGAACCTACACATCCTACCACTTACAGCAAATGTTTTTGATGATCTCTTAGTGAACCAGCTTAAATTGGGAGAGATGCCACTTTTGGACACTGCTTTGCTCACCTGCGACAAGGGTCCAATACAAGATACTGCCCAAAACCCCCTGAAATCCACCTTGCTTCTTACATATTTTCAAGACCGTGGTGGCTCCACCACCTCACTGAAGTGCTTTTAACTTCAGCATGCCTTTCGTCTCGTATTACAACCTACTTCTCACCGCAGTTGAATACTAAACAATAGACCTGTCCTCTTAATTTCTTACTAACCAATAGCCTGGAAACGTGACCTTTCCCCACCTCCAAGTATTTTCAATCTGGAAGAGGAAACAGTCTTGGGGGGGTCTTTCCCCGGCTCTCTGCCTGGACGCCCCGCCGGAAGCCGGGCTGACAGCGCGCTGCTCCGGGGAAGGAGGTTTCTACTGACAGCGGTGCCGCTCGGGGACGGAGCAGGGACTCGTGCTCGTCCAGTGCCGGCGCGGTGCAGCACACCGCCCCAGCTCCGCCCGCTTGGGGGGTGGGGTTGGGGCCCGCGTGCGAGGGACCTTTAAAATCGCCGGAGCCCAGCGCAGCCCCGCCCCCTGGCCGTGGTCACGTGGTGCCGGCGGGGCGCGCGTGGGTTCGCGGCGGCCATGACGCAGACGGAGAAGGGCGAGGTGGAGAACGGGCGGGACCGGGAGCGCGAGCAGCGCGGGGCGAAGCGGCCCATCGTGCCCGCCGCCGTGCCCGAGTCCCTACCCCTTCCCCGCGCAGCGCTGCCAGGTCTCGAATGTGAAACTGTGAAATTACCGCATTCGCCGAAGACTGTCGCGCGCTGACAGCCTGTGCAAATAAGACGTCGTCTTTACCGTCTATCAGTCGCTGTAGTGGGCAGCGAGTGCGACCTGGGGCATCGGGGTGGAAGCGTTTCTTTATTTCGAGGCAAGCGGCCGTGAGAAAGCGCTGACAGCAAACCGGAAGTCGATTAAGGCTCCCTGAGGGTGACTTGGGTTTTGCATGTGCTCATACTGCATCAATCAACTGTCTCAAAAAATATCCTACATTTTGAAACCTTTTACTATTGATGGTACATGGTACAAGGGTTTAAATTATTGTACAACTATCATAATTATTGTACACCTGGCAACACTGCCCCCCGCTGCTCCCTTTTCCCCAGCCCCTTCCCTGAGTGGGGGTGTTGAAGCCGGCCTTTACAGTCCCGCTTCCCCCAGGTGGTTACCCCCACCGCCCCGGTGGTTCTCCACCACAGTGTCAGATTGGGACCCCCAGGTGGATCCAGGCTGCGGACACTGCCAGCGCAGCCTGCCAGGCAGAAAGGTTTGAGCACCAGGGGCATTGGCAACTTGTAGGGAGTGCACGTGCACCCCCTGTGAAAAGCACCACCAGTGCTCGTAGCTGTGCCTGCGGGCATTTGCTGCTTGCCACCACTCCCACCACCAGTGGCATCTGCGGGCAGTCCCTGATTGCCGCTGGCTGCCACCCACCAGTGCCCACATCACAAATGTCCCCGCCACCTGTGGGTGGTTGCCGTGCCCCCTCAGCCTCTGGGGGTACATGGCCAGGGGCCTGATACACTTGTGTGTCTGTTTGAATGTTTCCAGCAAATACAAAGCAACTTCATTGTCGTCATCCACCCTGGGTCCACCACACTGAGGCTAGGAAGAGCCACTGACACGCTGCCTGTGAGCGTTCCCCACCTCATTGCGAGAAGACACAAGCAGCAAGGACAGGCCACATACAGGGATAGCTGGCTTCTCAGAGATGGACTCAATGTAAGGGAGCACAACACATTATGTTTGGAAATTGGGTACCCTGGGGTTGGTTAAAATAAGGTGTTTAATAAGCTTAATATGTTTAAAATAAGCTGTGTTGTGCTGCTTTTGGTTGGGAATCCTGGGTCTGATGTTCTTCATGTTTCATTCAATTCATTCCACGTTTCTCAAAAGATTCAACTGCTTGGCAAGCCCCAATGTTTTAAAAATTAACACAGCAGAATCTTGTTTTGTTGTGATGTGTAGGCAAATTTGGTCTAAGCAACTTAACCTTCCTGTAATTTGAGTCTTTACTGTCAAATTAATTTACTGTCAAAAGTAACATTTAAAATATTTTTACATTTTATTTTCTAAACAGAGTGTTACTTAGCATGTTTTTTGCTGTTTGATGTTTGTGGAGTTACATGGGCATGGTTAGTAAACTGACTACAACACAAGCCAGTCCAGTGTCCATTCAAGTCAGTAGAAAGACCTCAGTAGGTTTGTATCAGGGGCTGTAATATAAAAGTGTTTCCTCTAAATAAATATACCCCTATCATGCATGTTGGCTGCCATCCTCATAGTCTGACATTATGTTCCTGCAGTGATTCATGTTTTATTACCAGCTTCAGTATTATTCAGTATACAGATGTGCATGGTCTCTCATTTTGCAAGAAATTTTATCAAGTTGCATGGGTTTGGGTTTTTTTGTTTGTTTGTTTAGAAACCTGAAAGTACTGAGCAAAGACAAAATGGCCTTAAAATGGTGGACCAAGCAATATGGTCTAAAAAGATGTCCAATGGGGCAAGGCGTATACCAGTGTCACCTGATCAGGTAACTCTTTCATCATACTTTATTAAATTGTCCTGTTACACAGTAGTTCAGTTTGATTCCTCTTTCGGGATAGAGTTTATGCAGCAGTAAGCAGTAGTGCACTCAGTGCCAAAGTGTGCCTTGGCCAAATAGAAGAGAAAGAGGGAAGTGTACTTTTACATATGAACTTTATGGTTATCTTTTTTTTTCATACATGAGATGAAAAAGAAAGATATTGTGATTGGCAAGATGTTTCTTAATACTAGGTAACTTAATATGCATT